AAGAAAGAAAGAAAGAAAGAAAGAAAGAAAGAAAGAAAGAGGGTAAGTAGGAAGGGACAGAAAACAAACTCCCTGTGTCCCACTGTTATCCCGAGCCAACCTTAAAGCCTGAGGTGGCCAGGAGTCACTCGTCTTAGGAAAGTGGGCACTTCATGGTGAGTGTGGAGGAGAAGACGGCCATTTAGGGTAAAATCAGTCAACTGAAAATCCCTGCCAAACCACCGAGGATGTAAACTCTCTGAAAAGCCAGAAGTCTCTTACACTGACAGAGAAAATAAATTAATATGGAACGATGCTTAGGTACACTAGTTTTTTTTTTTTAAGTTTATGTATTTATATTGGGAGAGAGAGAAAGAGAAAGAGAACCAGTGGGAGAGGGGCAGAGAGCAAGGAGGACAGAGGATCTGAAGCAGGCTCTGTGCTGACAGCAGAGAGCCTGGTGTGGGGCTCGAACTCACAAACCATGAGATCATGACCTGAGCTGAAGTCGGATGCTGAAATGGACTGAGCCACCCAGGTGCCTCGACACCAGCTTTTTTAATCTTTAGGACCACATGAGTGACGTGGCCAAGGAAAGCACTAAACAGCAGAGCTAGAGTTTGAACCCAGCTCCATCTGGCTGCAGTCGCTCTACCATACCCCCTCCAGAGGTGGTCAGTATACACCTGTGGATGTGCAGGGACTTTTGGAGAAATAACTAATCCCATCTCATGATGCTAAACTTTCTCCCTCTTAGTCCCTTGGCCCAGATTCCCCCAAGGAGTGCCATAGGAGGAACCGAAATCTAGGAAGAAAGTAGCTTTTCATGCCTGAAGGTATTTTATTAGTTTCCGGGACTGACATTTAATCCGTCTGAGGCTCTCTGTAACTGCCTCCTCACGGCTCTGGCTTTCCGGGCCCCAGGGAGAGGTTGCTCGTTTGTTCAGAGTACTCTGTCCCTAGAACACCCCGGACCTCAGTGAGGCTACCACACAAGTCCCATTCATGACCTGGGTCAGTTCCTGTCACAATGAAACCCGGGATTAGGAAACTTTCCATTCAGTGGGACAAAAAAGATTTTCACGCCCTAGGGTATGGTTCGCTTATTTTGAAGAATACGGCGAAGCAGCGTTAATTTGAGCCGTGCTAATTCACAACGGCTCATGATGCCAAAAGTCGATGCAGTGGAGTTTACTTTAATCCAGTATTTACCAAAAAACAAGGAAAGAAGAAAAAGAAGGAAGAACGAAAGAAAGAATGAGCACATACGTGGCTCTGTGCCGGATGCTACATGGATTTATAGGAGTAAAATGTCATCCCTGTTCTCAAGGAGTTTGCAAGAGTTTACAACTTTCTTGTCACAAGGTTTTAGGAAGAAAATTGTAATGGAGTCCGCAAGAAAGCCCTGGCAGAGAATCGTAGCTTCTGGGTCTTGGAAGGAATTTGTAAAAGGTCAGCGAAGTCACCACATCTATGTTCTCACAAATTGTTAAGAATTAATTCATTCAACATTCAATCATTCATTCATTGATTTGAGGACTCTTGATTGTACGTGTGCTATGTGCCAGGCCTGGAGCTAGGAACTGATTCGTTATTTGTAGAGATTTTAGAAGTTCGCAAAGCATTTTCACTTACGTATATGATCTCATTCACTCAGTGCCCCTGCCAACCCTACCCTGGGAGATATGCTATTATTCCAAGTCACTTCACTCTACAAGTACGATGTATGCGATCCCCAGGACTTGTCAGTGCTGGGTAGGGATAGATACTTCAAACCAACACACAACATTGGGTCACTCTTTTCCCTCTTCAACCCCATGTCAGACCCTAAAAGGCAGCTCCGTCAGATTTTGCGTTAGGGGTCAAATGACAAGGGAGGGGACTCTACTCCACCTTTCAGGAAGTGACTCATCTCTGCTTTGTGTGGTTGTGACCCCACCGCACTAAGAAATGTCCCCAAACTGGATATGTGTCTGTGAAATGAGAGGAAACACCTGTAAAGGAAGCCCTTGTCCTCTGACCCCCCCCACCCCTGGACCCCTAATACAGATGGAAGTCGCCAAATGCCAAAGCCCATTACCACTGCAATGAACACCGTCATCCTCAAGTTCATATCCTGGGTCACAGCGGCAGATGAAAGAGCCATAGGTGTTGACACAAGTTTGCACGCATGGGTTCTCAGTTGCACATTCGTTCACATCTACAGGAAAAGAAAAGCACGTCACTGAGCATTCCCACAACAGAACATCCCCAATGACCAGGCAGAAAATGCACCGGCAACAAAATCTACCGGCGCTGGGAGACCAGATTCACAGGGGCCAAGTATCTCCACCCAAGATCTCTCACATTCAGAGCTCAGACCCCAGAGCTTTCACCGAAGGACCAGGGTCTCCATCCACATGCCCCTCCTTGCTCACAAGTTGGGAAGGGCAGAAACAACTTGTATATACACCATACCCATGCATATGCATGTACACACACACCCCTCCTAGTCAGTCTACTCCCCAAGGCTCACCCACAGGAATTTCCAGGCAATATCTGCTTTGCCCTCTCATCTCCCGCATTATATCACCGATTCCCTCTTCTCTCACTACTGACTCTAAACTTTTCAGTAAACAGGTAAATAACCATGACAACTCTAATAATAACTCTGTGATTGCTACGGACCTTATTATGTCCCTCCCCCAAATTCATAGTTTGAATCCCTAACCCCCAATGTGACTATATTTGGAGATGGGGCATTTGGGAGGTAATAAGTTACCTAGAGGCGGGGTCCTCAGATCTCACACTTACTGAATCCCTACAACAACCCAGCTTTGGGGCCACTGCCCCATGTTACAGGTTCAGGGGGTTAAGGAAGGGACCACAAAGGAGCACGAGGAAACTTTTACATAATAGAATATTTCATCACCTTGAGCGTGGCGATGGCTGCATGGGGGGATACATACATCAAAGGTAATGGAATAACGAACCTTTAAGAGCACAGGTTATTGTACACCAATTATACACCAACAATTTTAAGGTTGTTTTAAGGTTAGGAGATGCGCCCAAGTTCCCAAGCTAACAGGAGCACAGCTGGAGCCGGAACTTGAGTCCGAGGGCTTTCCATGATATCAACAAACTATTCTGCACAACTCATCGGGGTGAGGGGAGGGGCAGGAAGGAGCCCTTTTCTGCACTGGCACTGGCTGACTTGATTTAAGCACACCCTCTCCCAAGCCCGACATGCCAATGACCAAAGTTCCAGCTGAGAGCATTTCTATCCCCTTCAAAGTCCAGGTAAACCTCTCAAGGCTCTGAAAAGAGATTTGAGTGTTTTCAGAGTGAAAAGCCTTCATCGGCAACAGCTTGAAAAGCTTTTCTTAACGGGGAGGGCTAATCCCATGCCCACACAGCGCCTGCTTCCTGGTATCCTCAGAGCTTTCAGAGGGGGAGAAACAGGGCTCTGCAGGGAGGGTCCACAAGGTACCATTCTCCCCAACAGAGCTTGGAGGCTCTGTGCCCTGGCAGCCTGGAAACACCATGGCGGTGAGTCTTTGAGTCAAGTCCAGGCAGGACGGCACCGCCGAGTATTAGGGCCGGTGTCCTTGGCTCCCGGCCACTCGCTGACCACGCCAATACGAGTGAGCTCGGGTCTTGTCCTCCTGCAGCTCTCAGCTGCCTCTGCAGAGCAACAGGGCCCACAGGACGCTGCCGCCTGGGCCCCGGCTGCACTTGCCTGCCAGCCCCCAGGATCCACACATGCACAAGTGCCCCTGTGAATCATGTGGAGCAGGCCACACCCCACCCACTCTGACTTGCTGGACGGGAAGGCTGAAGCCTCGGTTCTCTCAACTCTGCCACCACCTGGCTGCGTGACTTCGGCCAAGTGGCTTCACGTTTTTGAGCTTCGACTTCCTCATCTGCAAGGCATGGCCACACACACCTGCCGTACCTGTCCCCTAAGGCTATTGCTGGGGTTTCAGTGAGGTTAACAGAGGCGTCACTGCTTTGAAGAGCGCACAGCAGCCTTCCTTGCGTGAGGCATCAGGACAAGAGCTCAATGGCGTAGGTAACATCCTGTACACCCGTGGCCCCTGCTGATGCAATATCCCGGTGGCTGGGTGCCCGTGTCCAGGCTTTACCACACCAAGGCACCTGGCACGTGCCAGGTGTATTATCTGCTCCTTGTCACAGGCCTGTCCCTGAGAGGCCCTTTTGGCTCTGCTGAGCACGGCTGTTCCTTACGAGATGCTGATGCACCTTGCCAGCCTCTGGGGGAAACCTGGGCGGGCGCTACCACCCCCCGGTCTGGGCACGGAGAAGCCCGCGGCTGCCTTATGTCACTCGTCACAGCGGCAAGGGAGCCAGGAGGCCTGCTCCCTGCTCCGGTGGGAGAGAAGGGCCCCTGCTCTGTCGGGAGAAAATTACCTCCCCTGGCAAGAGGAACATAGCCGAGACTTCTTGGAACAATTAGCAGAACCAGTTCTGGAGAGAAAGACTTACAAAGAATCCAGGATCAGACCCTTTAAGCGCTGAGGCCTTCCTGTTTACTCAATGATTTAGATATGATTAAATGAATGGAAACATGATATCCCCCGACTAGCTGGCCAGGAGCCTGCCCGCCAGACCTCAGATGGTGTGACAAGGACATGGGCCCTGCAAAACCTGGTGGCGGGCTCCAAACAAAGACCTCATTCTGAGGCCCCGGCACCGCCTCCACCCTGGATGGAGGGGCAGCTGCCAGGGACCGGAGGCCTGGGTGGGGGCCGGGGTGGGGCCGGGGGCCGGGCAGGACTTGCGCTAATTCCTTGGGCCTTGGGCCCCCAGTCACTTCCTGAGCAGAAGAAACTGCAGTAGGCATGCAGCTTGTTTTTCTTATCAGTATTTGAAGGGATCCTATAAAACCCAGAAAATGCCTTTGTTTCATTCCGGTTTTGTGCGAAACACTGCGTCGGAGGAGGAAATCATCATCCCCCCTGGACTCTCTGCTAAGGAGCAGGCCCTCCCAGCGTAGGCTGTAGGCAACATTGGAGGGAGAGGCATGAAAATTGCCTGTGAAAGCCCTGCACAGAGTATGCGTCTATATGGGAATGCATCGGAGGTCAGATGCCCTTTCTGACCACCCCTCTTGCGCATCAGGAACTGAACTCAGGCCACCGGACGTGCGTGAAAATTTCTGATTAGCCTGGAAAGCTGGCAGGCCAACTTCTGGGAAGCAGACGCACAGAGAGAAGCAAATCCATTCAAGCACAAGCCCCAACTGATGGATGACCGTGGTTCTCATCTCAGCCATACTCAGAGCACTTTTTGAGATATTTCCCATAACCTCCGTTCGGATCTCAGGTTTCTGTAAGCACCCAGGAGGGGCACACGGTGACACCAAGTAGGAATATGCGCCAACCACGTAAACTGTCAGATTCCGAAGAAGAGAGCGTCTCGTGCTTTGCATCGTGTGCAAGTTGTCATCTGCATCACGTACCTTGGCAAGACCTTCCATCCTCATTGAGGGTAAAACCGGGGTTGCAGGTGCAGGAATAGGACCCAGGAACGTTCGCACACAGTTGCTGGCAGTAGCCATAGCGACATTCATCAATGTCTGGAAGGAGAAACGCTAGCAAGGTGAGACATCTCTCCTCAATCACCAGTGCCACACCCGGCATCACCATTGGCATCATTATGGCCCATCTCTCCTGGAGCAGGACCGCCAAGGGAAGGGAAGGGGAAGTAAAGAGAAGACAGTACCGACCGACCGAGTGTTGGGGGTGGTGATACCCTCTGGGGCTAAGGCTCAATCTACCTTTCTAACCTTTCCTGCCCCATCTCAGTCCCATGAACACCTGAACCTGAAAAGCTATAGAAGAAATATCTGCTTAGGCTGGGATGTGGGGCAAGGCAAGCTCTGAGCTCTTTATCCAACTCCAACATTCAATGCTAAAATGTATCCAATGTGGAGAATCAAATCTAGGATTCTATAGGAACCTCCCACTGCCCTGGGAAGAGACAAGTTGGCTTCAAGTGTAAGAGGAATCCATAGCCTCGCTCCCATAGGCTGTTTGCCAGCTCTATTAACAATAAATCTGTCTCGGTGTGCCTGGGTGGCTCAGTCAGTTAAGCGTCTGACCCTTGATAGCGGCTCAGGTCACGATCTCATGGTTCGTGAGTTCAAGCCCCACATCGGGCTCCGAGCCGACAGCATGGAGCCTAGTTGGGATTCTCTCTCTCTGCCCCTCCCCTACTCACGTTCTCGCCCACCCTGCCAAGTAAATAAATAAACTTAAAAAAAAAAAAAAAACCGCAATGACTCTGTCTCCCTCTCAGGAACAAGAGTGAGTGTAGGCCAGGAAAGGCAGGGCAGCAGGGCCGTCTAGAGACCTATGAATCCAGTAACAGGAGGATGCCAGAGTTCGCCTTGGATCTCCTCCTTGCACCAGAGCAGACATAAAACTCTGGATAAACATGCCCCTTCCGAGCCATGGCTGGCCTTTCCTGAGCAAGCGGCTCTGTGGGTGAATGGATCCTTTTAGCAGAGCTGGGCAGTATGCCCTCCCTGCTGACATGTACCAGTCAATGGGGAGCCTGATGTCATTGGGAAAGCACTTCCCAATACTCCAAGTTAATGGGCTGATGGGCAAGAGAATTCCCTCCTGAGAGATGGGACGCCTTGAAAGAAGCCTATAGGTGGAGACCAAGTCCCCACCTATACAATACCTGCTGGGACCAGCTGATCTGACTGCAGCCATAACTGGTCCTTACTTACCCCCACCTCCCCCAAATGTTCTCTCCTGGGACCCCCGTTCCTTTGGAACCATTGTCCATCCAGGGCTCTGGAGACCAGCCCAGAATCTGTCTCCGTACCTGGTTTCTACCACCTACTGCCAGAAAGGACCCCATCTCCATCTTACCTATTGTTCAGTTGTTCAGCCCGCCTCAGAGCCTGTGCCCTGCCCTTGTGACTGAGTCATCTCTGAGTCGCAGCTACTTCTAACCTGGCCCACCCCACTGCCCATGGAGAGCGCTGCAGATCCTGCTTGGAAAGCACACTGACTTGTGCAGTTGCTGGGCCCAACTTTCCCAGGGTGCACTGGGACACACCGCCAAGGCCAGGGAGGCAGTGGTGGGGGTTAGGGAGTGGGGAGGGCATCCTCTGCCCAGGTGTACCTTGGAGGAAAGGCAGCCCCCAGCCCCACATTTTTCTGCAAAAGCAATGTCTCCAAAGGTGCACAGAATGGGTGGTAGATGACTGTGGAACTTGGGTTTGGAAAGAGAAAGAATTTGGCCAGGAGGAGGCATGAGGTCAACCACAATTAGGAAAGGCCTTCGCTTCAGATGTGAAGTGTGAGCGGGCTGCACATGTGGCACCACGTTAGGCCCCCAGGAGCATGTCTCCCTAAGCTTCAGGCCCTGGTGGAAGAGAACAGCTCTCCCAAGGAGATAAATGTCCCAGTTACCTGGCCCCAAGGGCTCTAGGACGGGGCTTGTGTTCCCATCACCTGGGCCTCTCCAGCGCCCCCTTGTGATGGAAAAAACTGGCCTGAGAGGAGCCAGGTTTTAGACCCAACTCGCCTTGTTCAAAACGTTCCCCCTCTTTGAGTCTCAGTTTCCAACTCTATAAAAGTTGGATGACATAATATCTAACATCCCTTCCAGCTCTGAGAGTCGACATATTAAGTTCCTGTACAAATAACTCACTCACACTGATCTGCTTATGTTCAAATCAGTGGCATCAAATTTTCCAGAATAGCTGAGGTTGGTTAAAACACACAGCGACCCTCATATTCACAAATGCCATGTGCTGCCAGCGTTTGGTGCATGGCTGGAAAAGAGGACAAGCCAAGTCCAGTCTGGCTTATCGGCCCCAAAGATGCTGCAGACAGAGCTCTAGAGCAGACCAACACTCAAGTCTCAATCAAGAGCGTCTTGGAAAAAAGAACCCTCTTCTTTTTTTTGTTTCCGTGATGTTGTTTGGATTTGCTTTTCAGCTCCTCCAGGACTGACTTTTGGGCAACAGAACAGTGTCTTAGAGAACTTAAACTGGTAGGGCTTTTCCAAGAAAACACAGCATAGAAATCACACCCTAGAAATAGAAATTGAAGTGACAGCTAGAGATTGCTATGAATTCATTCACTTGGCTAAACCAAAAAAACAGAGCGGAAGAAAAGAAAATCACCCTCCAGTAAAAATAAACAGAGAGATCATAGAGCAGATGCCAATGGCAAGGGACAAAATTCTCAATTGGTGACGACTGAGTCCTTAAGAGTAGAAAGACCACAACTCGTGGGGTGGGTCTTGGGAGGGGGTGTTAGAATCTACCGAGCCACACTTGAGACCTGGAACATTTCTGTGACTAAGAAGTGTTCCCTTCCCTTAGGAGGATTTCTAACTAAAATAGAATAACCCTCACTTCCACAAACTTCCTGAAGGCAGGAGGCAGGTCTAGGTAAAATGAATACGAGCCCTTAAACATTACAGTCAAAAACTCTGATAATGGCATTTGACCATGATGATCACAACTGGTTTGAACGGGTAGTGCTACACGCGAGCTGAATAGCCTTCTACCTCTCCCGCCCCGAGAAAATCCCACTGTCCATGGACCACCCAGTTAGGCCCCCATTTCACAGTACCCCTGGCAACCATTCACTTCCAAGAGTCTCTGTGAGCCCCAGAGAGCCGTTACCTAAGCACTGGCCTTCCAGAAGCCAATAGCCATCCGTACAGGAGCAGGTATACCCTCCTTCGGTGTTGATGCAAATCTGGGTAGGATTGCACTGGTGAGAATCCGTTGCACACTCGTCCACATCTGTAACACAGACATATTCCAAAGAATGTCACCTACGTTTATCCAGAGCTCTGGAGCCACCAGAGTTGCCAGCTGCTTGCTTGTCCTTCTGGGAAGAAGGTGATAATGTCCATGAGTTACATTCAAGGAAAGGATGCACCTCCCTGATGGATACCATTAGGAGACACTGACCCTTTTGGAGGGAGTAGACCTAGTCTTCTCCCCAGAAATCCACGAAAGAAAATAGCCAAGAAGAGACCACACATCCTTGGGGACTCTTCTGACATCCTGTCCCATCACTTTCTGAAAGCAGGTCACCTTGATAATAACCATTACTTACTTGATTTGGAAACACATTTTGTCTGGGGCACCTGGGTGGCTCATTCGGTTGAGCATCCAACTTTGGCTCAGGTCATGATCTCGCCGTTTGTGACTTCAAGCCCCACATCAGGCTTGCTGCTGTCAGCCTGTCCGTGCAGAGCCCACTTCCGATCCTCTGTCCCCCTCTCCCCACCCCTCCCCACTTGCACTCTCTCAAAAATAAATAAAACACTTAAAAAATCAATAAAAAGGGGTGCCTGGGTGGCTCAGTCGGTTGAGCAGCTGACTTCAGCTCAGGGCATGAACCCAGGGTATGTGAGTTTGAGCCCCACGCTGGGCTCTGTGCTGACAGCTCAGAGCCCGGAGCCTGCTTCCGATTCTGTGTCTCCCTCTCTCTCTACTCCTCCCCCGCTTATACTCTGTCTCTCTCTCTATCTCTCTGAAAAATAAATAAACACTAAAAAAAAATTTTTTTTAAATCAATAAAGAAAAAAGAAACACATTTTGTCTTAGGCTTATTCATGCATGTGTTAAACAGGGGTCTGTTGTGTACCTGCGTGAGAAACACCTCTGAGAACAGAAGAAAAACCAACATCTCCTGCCAAAAGAAGCTAATAGTGGAACCACTTGATTGTATCTATCCACAAAAATCCTTCGGCCTGGGGCCCCCGCACCTTCACGAAGCTTCACGGAGGCTTCCGGCCTTCCCTCCGCTCCAGAGCTCCTGGGACTGATCTCTTGCTGCCTTCGGCTCAGCACTGGAGTTCCCTGCGTGGCTACATGCCCATGGCTGTCCGTCTGGCAGTGGGCAGTCAGCCCCTTCTCCTTAATCAAGAGCTTCAGAGCCCAGAGAGCAAACTACATCCACGGTCACATCCCTCAAGACCTCCGACGTACACACTCAGCACTCAAAACTGTCGTAACTGCAACAAATCCTCCTGCCCTTTGTCCCCGCGCTGCACTTTGGGGGGGAGCACTCCCAACGCCACACTCTCACTTGGATCTGGAGAAGGACACTTTCCCTAAACATTCATCTGTGCATTCCCGGCACAGGATCCACCGAGTGCCCTGGATCCGCCTGGCCCAGCACCAACCCCTCTCCTCGGTCAACCTCCCCTCCCTGTCTGTACCTTCGCAGGGCACCTTCCGTTTGCTTCTCTTATTACTGCACTTGGGGTTTGCTCATCCGCATCTTCCCCTGCCTCCTCCAAAGGGACCACGCACGGTTGGAAATAATATTAAAAGGTACTCACCGAGCACGTGCGGTGTGCGTATGTGGTATACATATGTTACGTATGTCGTGTGCACGTGTAGTCGGCGTGGGTCATGCGTGTACGTCATGTACATACGCAGAAGGCAAATGTAGTCTGTATATGTCGTGTGAGTGTGTATTGTATTATGTGCAGATATGACACCTCACATACACTACCATATTTATTCTCACCATCGCCCTATGAGGGGGCCTCATGACGCCCATCTCACAGATGGGAAAACTGCACTGATAGAGAAGATAAGTACCAAGCCAAGAGCTGAGCCCAGCTCCCTTCCCACCTGACTCCAAATCCCTCTATGCAGCTATGGCAGCGGTCACACTACCCAGGCCCAGGCAGGTTCAGAAGGGAGCTGGCAGACTCGGAAGAGGAAAAAGGGCTGGGGAGAGGATAACTGGCTGCCTCTTGACATTGCGGACTGCAGACTGTGGGGGGCGCCTAGGGCCCCAAAGTGTGAATTCCTTGAGGACAGAGCTTTGCCGGCTACAAGCGCGGAAAGTGGGCACGACTGACTCAGTGAAACCTTCAGCCAGGTAAGCAACAGTTTCTCGGGGTCAAGCGACACCACCGTAATCCACCACCCACCTGCGACAAGTCAACCCCAATGACACCAATAGATCCCCACCCTGCCCCAGCCCGCCAGGTGTCTGGGCATCACGTGGATTCAGGCTTCAGGCCGCTGAACGCCACGGCCTCCAAGAACCTGGTTCCAAGGTGGTGGCCGCCTCCACTCCACCCCAACACGTTGACGATGTGCAGCCTCCATGGCAAAAACCCAGCTGTTCTTGGCTGCAGGAACTCATGCCTCTGCCCTTGGCCTCCCTTCCACCCCCAGCTCTGCCCACCCAGCAAAGCCTCCCAGGGAAACCAGCGAATAATGCTTGGCGAGCAGCCACCCCTGCTCAAATCCGCATCGAAGACTATGATAATAAATAATGCCGCTATCGGCCAGTGCATATTTACATTTTTCTGGCGAGGAGTGATGGATGGCAATTGTACCCTGGGAACAACATCGCCTTAGGAATTCTGCGCTCTTTTTCCTGCCTTGAGGGGATTAAAGGGTGAGCGAGACCCAAGGGGAGAAGAACCATTAGACTTGGTGGTAGCAAGTTCCCAAGACTCTGTGTTTGTGCGGCTCGCGACGCACACAATGGGCCGGCAGACTCCCCGCAGAGAGAAGCCGAACACTCGCCAGGGGACCAGACGGCTCAGAAGGGCATGCGGCACCTGAACGCGCACAGGCGCGCGCATGCGCAGGCACGCACACGGGCATCCGCAGCTATGTTGGCCTGAAACTACCTCTTTAAAGTTCATTGTCTTAACAAAAAAAAAAAAAAGAAAGAAAAGAAAAAAAAAAAAAGCAACGCCACCACTTTTACTGGGTTAAAGAATTAACTTCGTGATGCTCCACTTCTGTTGATGTACATTCGAAAAACTGTATTTTCAACTTTCACTCGCTCACTGAGTGGATTGTCAATACATACGTACTTTCGAGAACCCTAAAAATCCCTGGAGCTCTTGGAGGGTGTGTCTTGTCTTTATACGCTCAGAACATACCTGGTGTAATGCCGTGTCCATAGTAAATGTTCAGTAATTATCTGGTGAATGAATGAACGAACACACGAATAATGAACATCAATGCCTTTAAGCCCCGACAAGTTTCCCCAGCCAGCGGCCGATGAGACCATTTCGGTGTGTGGACTTTAAAGGCAATCAGCGATCAACCCCACCAAAAACCCCCATCGGTTTACACACCTGGTGGAGCAGAAACTAGAATGTTCTCGCTGTGAGGTTCCACCCGAGGCTGAAAGACTCATCACACATTCCAGCTCACAGCTGAATTGCTTACATTAAATACATTTGACTTAAATAACAGAAGGAAAAATACGTTGAACCACTCCAAGGACATTCTTTGGCAAAGCTTCCTTTTCTGCATCAGTGGAAAAGTACAAGTTACAGCAACCTGAGTAAAGTGTCATTATCCGCGGATGCAAATCATGCCTGCTATTTCCTTTCCTGTGTGATATTCAGGAAGAGACTCCTAAGAAAGAACGCCGGGTCCATTCAGCCATCTATTCACTCATTCACTCATTCATTCTTTTCTTCTGCTGTGGCTGTGTGTGTGTGTGTGTGTGTGTGTCCTCCCAAACCTCCAGGCTATTTGGGAGAGCTGGCCTTGAGTAGAGCCCTCTAGCCCCGTCGTTCCCGGAAGGAGACTCTGCTTAGAGGCCTCTGTGCACTCTCTGCCTCACTCCTGGGAGCTGTGGCCCGGTCCACAGCTCCCTGGGAGCTGCCTGGGCACCAGGAGGATTCCACCAGATCAACCGTGACTCGTCCCTCCCCAGGCAGGGCAACATCCACCACTGTCCAGGCAGCCCGAGCCCCAGCCACTGGAGGAGAGAGCTCGCTCACCTCTCCAGAACCTGGCAGCAGTTTGAAGCCCAGAACTGTACCTGCCCGGGAAGCAACTGCCCTCTGCAGCGAGTGGCACAGCTCTGCTGACCCGTGCAGCTTTGTCCGAGCCGTTGCCTCTTCCTTCCGACATCCCCGGAGTGGCCTTCAATGAAAACATCCTCAATCTGAAACAACTGCTCACTTGGGAAAGTCACCAAAGTCAGTCACCCCCTTGACCCCCTCTCAGGAGGCTGCAGGCTGGACTGGGCTCCCGGGCCTTAGGACAGAGGCCCGCATATTAGGGACACTCACTGAGGACTTCATATGGCCAACTATGTCCCACGTCCCCAGCCAGACAGACAGCTTCACGTGGACAGGTGTGCTGAGACAGTGTGAATAAAGGATGTCTGCCAAGTAGAGTCGAGGAAGCGGATGGAGGAACTGACCTCAAGACATCAGAAGACCACTGGCAGACGACCCAAATGACAAAACGAATGCGCTCCTTCAGGCTGACTCAAGAAACACCAGGAGGAGGAGCCACAACTCTTAGTGTTAACTCACAGGTTATTATATAAAGAGATCTAAAGGCACGCATAACAGGCTAAATGTACTGCCATAAATTGTGTAATAAATCGGTTTGTGTACAAATACTATGCATATGGGAGCATCTGGGTGGCTCGGTCAGTTAAGCGTCCGACTTCAGCTCAGGCCATGAGCTCACAGTTCGTGGGTTCGAGCCCCACGCCAGGCTCTGTGCTGACAGCTCAGAGCCTGGAGCCTGCTTGGGATTCTGTGTCTCCCTGCCCCACCCCAACTCTTTCTCAAAAGTAAATAAACATTAAAAACATTATATAATATGCCTATGTATGCCAGCTATTTATTGTTGTATATTTATTACATTTCCACATTTATTCCTAAAAGTTAAAGGGAAAATACTTAAAACTGTGTTCATAGTACATGTTCTAATTGAAATTAAAGGTCTTTTAAAAAACTGGAAGACAAAACAAAACAAAACCCAACGATTCATCCATGCCC